GGCGGCGGCTCAGGGGCGCGGGGCGGAGGCGGCGGGCGGCCGGGGCGCGCGCAGGGAGCTGCGCCGCATTTTGGAGAAGTATTTATAATGCAGCGGCGCCGGTGCAGTCGCGGCGCCTGGGGTCCCGCAGGGTCCTAGCGTCCACTGCATTGGCTGCCGAGGGTCACCATGTGATCTCGGGGGTGGGAGCAGACACCGCCTCCGCGCCCGCCCGATGGCACACTTGGGCGCTGCGCGGCGGCCGGGTGCGGGCGGCCAGCGGGAGTGCGCCTGGGCTGGGGTGGCGCGGGCAGCCCGGGGTACGACGGAGCGGCCGAGCCCCGCGAGGTGGCCGGGGACGAGCGAGCGCGCGACCCGGGTTCCCGGCCCGGAGGGAGCGCCCCGTGGGGGCTCCGGGCAGGGCGCCTCCCGCCCGGCCCTTGCACCTCCGCGCCTCCACCCCTCTACGCGGGCCCGGGAGCGCCCGGTCCCGGGCCTGGGCCGCTGGAGTCCGCGGCGCCGCGTCCTCCTCCTCTTCGGCCGCCGGGCGCAGTCACCGAACCATCTCCATCTCCATCTCCCGCCCCTTTGTCTGAATGCGACGCCCGGCCGGGGCCCCGGGGAGGGGCGCCGCGGCTTCCCCGGCCTGGCGCCCCTGGGAACCTGCGCCCGGGGCCACACGGGCTGGACGCGCGGGTACACGGTCGGAGCGGGATCTAATGCCCAGATCGCCCGCAGCCCCCCGCGTCCGGGCGCAGCACAGCAACCCTCCGCTCCGACACCGAATTCCCGCAGCGGGCACGGGGGGCGCTGGGCTGGTCGGACCCCTCCCGGCTCGGCCCCCCGCCCTCCTCGGCCCGCGCATGCGCTCCACGATCTCGGTGCAGGTGCGGGGGGGGGGGGTGCTCTTGCCGAGCCTTGCGGGTCCCTGCGAGCCCTATCTGCCTGTCGACGCTGCGGGCCGGGGGCGGGGTGTGAGGGTGAGGGTGGGGGACAGGTAATCTCAGATCCCTCCCCTAACACTTTATGAACCCAGCCCCCTGCAGCTATGCACCCCTTCCCCGCGTCGCCCCGCAACGCGCCGCATTCCCCGCGGTGGCCCCGCAGGGCAGCCTGGAGCCGAGTTCACCACACCCGCATGGTTGGAGTCGAGACCTAGGGGACCAGGTCTAAGGACCCTCAGCCTGCCTGGGGCCCAGCCAGGCGGCTACCATCACCTAGAGGCTAGGAAGGGGACGACCCCTCGCCAGCGTCCCGCCAAGGGACCCGGGTAGAGTAGGGGGGACCCCGGACCCAGGAGCTGAACTGGTCCACAGCCAGGATCGCCAGCGCAAGGACCATGGTGGAAGGGGGCAGCCAAATTGGGAAGTCACCCCACACTCTATTTCCCAGATGCCTGGGTTTATCTGGGGCCTGGCTGTCATCTTCCAAGACAAGAAAGTGAAACCGTGGAGAATCTCAAAGGAGCACACAGGTCATTCAGAAATCACTCCATGTGCTGTCTGAACGCTGCCGAGAGCCCAACCAGCCACAGTGGACCAGGCTGCAGCGTGTCCTGAGGTTGACCAGGTGGAGGGCAGACGTGTCCTGGCAAAGCCAACAGCAAGCAGGGGATCCAGGCAGGAAAAACAAGGAATGCGGAGGGGTGGCTCATGTGCCTAGAGGAGTCAAGGGGCTTCAGAGGAAGGGGAGATAGGGCTTTGGATGTGGGCCTTGAGCACCAGATCGGGGATTTGGGAAACATTCTGTTGTTCTGTGATGGGGGCCAGAAGGGAGGACCAGGTGGAGGATCCAGGGATCTCTGACCCCAGACTTGGTGCAAAGAGGCTCCTCCGTGCAGAGTGGCCCAGCCCTTAGAAGGCCACAGCCTCTGCTGGCTACTACCCAACCCACCCACCCTCCTCTGGCCCCCAAAGTCAAGCCCACAGGTGGAGGGAAGGACCTGTGTTTCCACTCAGCCTGACTTTGGTAGGCCCTGCATCTGCAGAGGTCCCTTCCTCCAGGTGGCCTGACCTCACCTTCAGCCCCAAGTCTTGAACCCCCTGCCTCCCAAGATAGCTTGGCCAGCCTAGCACTGCAGCATCCTGGTCTAGAGGGCCCTGGAGAGTGCCAGGAGGAAGTGGGGAGGATACAGCCAGACTCAGCTTGGAAGGGACAGAGCTGGACACCAGGGACAGCCACCTGGAAGATGTTGGAGACCTCAGGGGCTGGGCTTTAGCGATCCGAGTGGGGGTGGCCTTAAAGGGAAGGGAGGTCTGCCCAGGCAGCAGGGTCCCAGGCCCGCCACTGAGCCTGTTCCCTCCCCAGTGACATGAAGCCCCCCCACCCCACCCTGCGCCTTCTGCCTGCATCAAGAACCCATCTCACAGACAAGGAAATTGAGGCTGGGTGGGTCCATTCTCCGGGTCCGTTCTCCCATGCACTCCTCTGGTTTCTGCTGCTCGGAGTCCCCTCTGCACCCACACCCTAGTCGCCTGGGCAGCCCCAACCACCTGCAATTCCACCCTGCACCCCTGCAATCCCGGAATCACAGTCGAAGCTAGACCCCAGCCCACAAAAGGGGGGCGCGCGTGCAGGCCAGGACCCCTCCCAGACTCCAGAGGTAGAGTAGGGTGGGTGCCCTGGGCCTCCCCTGTTCCATGCTAGGAGGGGGCGCCAAACACAGGACGGTGCATTAGCAGAAAACCCCTCACCCCAAGTGAAGAAGGGACCCTGGGGCCCAACCTGGAGCAGACCCACTGGGTCTCCTCCAAGGACACCCTGAGGGCCAGCCTGTCCCTGCCGGGGGAGGGGGGGGAACCTGAGACCTAAACTTCACCAGCGGTCAGAGGTACAGGGGGGCCTGGGAAGCAACAGAGATGAGTGGGAGCGCTGGAGGAAGGCCAAGGGGTCTCCAGAGAAGTGAACCAAAAGACCGAGGGATGGGAAGACAAGAGAAAATCAGACCAGATGGAAGGCCCAGTGTGCAACTGACAGTAGCTGCCCAAAGAGAAAAGAGGAGGGAACAACCATAATATAATAATGATTATTATTATTTCCCCCAGCTAAGGGACCGAGACTTCGGATTAAAGCCTGTCCAGCACTTTGAGTGAACCTTCAGTCCCGAGAGGGTCCTGGGGGTGGGAGGGAAAAGCTCCTGACAGGCACCCAAACTGCTCAACCTCCTCACCCAGAGTCCATGACCCAGCAGCCATCCCTCCCTTCTACACAGGCTCAGTGAGTGCCCACCTTCTATCGGGCCCTGAAAAGAACAAAGCCCAGTCCTCCTGAGGCTTTCCAATCCAGCAGGGGAGGGTCGGAAATAAATAAAAGAGATCAAAGCTCTAGTATCCCTTGGGGACAAACAAGCAAACAAAAAGCAAGGTAGGATAAGGAACTAAAGAGTGAGGTGGGTCATGGAGGAGGCCAAGTGCATAACTCCACGGAGAGACCACAGCCTGTGCAAAGGCCCGGAGGTAGGAGGGGCTATGAATTGAACATGCTGCAAAAGATATTCTCAGACAGGCCAGCTCAGAGAGTTTACTTACCACAGTGTTTTCTAGGAAGATGCTTGAAGACATGCAACATGGAGGGGCTGACAAGAGGTCTAGGAAACAGTGACTCCAAACCAAAAGAGTGAAAGGTAGGCAATGGGCAGCAGGAGTACCCAGCTGGCTGGGAGCAGGAGGTCCAGAGCCTGGCAGGGGGCCTAGAGGTGACTTGAGGTTAAGGATGTGATAAAGGCAGACAGTGTGGGAACATTAAGGCAAACATCAAGTCCAGAAAAAATTAAAGCTGTCCTAAAGATAATGTGTTCCCAATTCACTGCTTAGCCTAGAATCATATTTACATATATAGTCGTGGCAGATGCTCTTGATTGAATCTGCCTACAGATGAGCAGGAAAGCGGTGTCATGGCTCTAGGACAGAGCCTGAATGCTGTCAGCCTTGACCACTCGCAAGGCTAAACTCCTTGCAAGAATTGTCTGTGCCGACTCTGTCCACCTCTCCTCCTCCCGTGAAACCCCCATCCAGGCCTTCCCCACCCACAATTAACCCTCTTCTTATCAAGGTCAACAATGACCAGTGCTGCCAAATCTAGTGGTCCAGGCTTGGCCCTTCTTGACCTCAGCAGCATGTGACATGACAACCCCTCCTTTCTAACCAAAGCCCTCACCTGTGTCAGCTGTCTTCATGACTCTCGGCTGCCCCCTCTCCTCTGGGGACCCCTCCTCTCTGCCCTCTTAGTGCTCACCTCTGCTCTGTCCACACCCAAGCCACAAGGGTCCCAGCCAGCCCTTGTGTTCCTAACTCTCTCTCTCCGTCCCCTTTTCCACACATATCTGTCCACTTGCTTTCCCCCGCTCAGGGGTCTAGGGCACACCTCAAGACTGGCTCCTCCACCGCGACTCCAGGCCCTGTCTGGGGAGCTTGTGCTCCTACTCCCTCCCAAAGAGTGCTCCTATGAGAGGCTTTCTGAGACCGTCCCTATCTCTCATAGTAATGGAAACCACAATTTGTGCCGGGGCTCGTGGCTGCCCACAACCTACAGGGTGCCCAGTTAAGATTAAATTTTGGGTAAACGAATCACTTTTAGTATAAATATGTCCTAAATACTGCATGGGACATACGTAATACTAACGAGTACTTACACTAGAAGTACTTGTACTTTTTATACTGAACAGTATTCATTGGTCCTAGATCTGTTTTTGCTAAATCGGAGAACCCAAGCAGAGAACGCGGTCCATCCCCACCTCCCCGGCAGCCAGGAATGGCCACGTGACTGAAGCCAACCAATGGAACATCAGCATCGTCGGGGCGGGGCCCCGGAGGGAAGACACCTGCCTCCGTCCGCCCTCCGCTCCTTTCTGGGGCCCCAAGACTGGAGGATTCTGATCCCTGCCACCGAGTACCCCGCGCATTTCCAGAACCGAGGGCTGGTCTGAGCTTCAGCACTCCCTCGTCTCTCTCTGGCCTGCTTTAGAGTTCACAGGCATCATCACCACCAGACATCTAGCTCAACCTCCCAGCACGACCAAGGTAGGACTCTGTGTGGTCCAGACAACGTGGATCGGCAGCAGCATGCCAGGCCCTTCCAGGCAGAAAAGCACTGACAGGACAGGTCCTGGGGTGGGAGCAAGGGCAGGGCAGGTGCTGTGGGGCTGAGGCCTGGAGGAAGGCTCTGAGAAAACGTGTGCACACGCACGGTGACACGGACAGGCTGGGGTGGGGACTTGTGAGCTAAAGAGGGGCGATCCTCCCCTCTCTGGCAGGAGCACCGTGGTGCCCCTGGGCAGCCACCACTAGGGAACTAACACCCCGGAAAGGCCAAGTGTCCCACAGCGGTCACTTCCAACCATGGCATTGCTTGGTTGGATACTTGATACTACAAAACATCGATGGAATGAATGGAGGGACAGAGGGACGGAGGGAGGGTCACCTGCTTCCTCCAGAGGGCTCCTGCCTGGCGCTATGCACACACCTGTGGATGAGTAAGGGCCCGTTACCCACAGGCATAACACTTGTATTCAGACCCAGATTCTTATTCCCTGGTGCCCAGGGGCTGGGCTGGGGCTGTAGGAGGAGCCCGGCAGGCTGGGTGGAGGCTGTACGGACCATGCCAGCCCTCCCCGTGCCCGGAGGAGCCTTCTCTGGCTGCCGGCTCCTCCTGCCTGTCCCGACAGCTACCGCGGGCTAGGCTATGCGGGGGCCCACTGGGGGGCCTGCGGGGAGCTCCCAGGACAGCCATCCCCAACGCAGCGCAGAGGATCCCCGGGGGGCTCGGCACAGCGACAGCGGTTCCGGGGACGAGGCCAGCTTCTACACTCCCCTGGCCTCAAGAGGGCAGGCAGGCAAGTGAGGTGTCTGAAGGCTGACTTGCAGTGGCCACAAAGTGCCTGTGGGTATAGGTCCACACGTGGGGCGAGACACGCGTATCTGCTCAGCACAGGCCCTGGTGTGGCCCACATGGAACCGCTGGGGAAACGAAGTCCCACACCAGGGACCACTGGGGGCGACGCAGGTGGGCTCTGGTGGCCAGAACAGGGAGACAGGACACAGTGTGCTGGGCCGGGTGTTTATTGATGAGGAACAGCGGTGTCTGAGGATCCTCAGCGCCCGGCAGGCCAGCAGGCACACAGGGCCCGGCGCTCGGCCTGCAGCAGGAGGGTCTCCGTCTGCAAAGCAACAAGGGGCAGTGAGGGCAGGGCGCCGTGCCAGCGCTCCGCCCACCAGCTCCCGAGGGCAAGGCATCTCCGGGTGCTACCAGCAGTACCCTCTCCGCCTGCTCCTGAGACCTCGGAGCCCCCAAACACACTGAGTGTCAGACCCTCTCCTACCCTGTGGGCCTCCACCCCTTCCCACGCTCTTCTTTTAGACCCTCCGCGGTTTCTGCCAGCACAGCTGTCCCGTCTGGGACCCTGCACATGCTCATTCCAGGCCTGGACAGCTTCAACCCGTATGCTGCCTCTCAGGGTCTCCCCCAACGCCATGTTGGGCTGGGGCTGCTCTTCTCAGGAGCCCAGCCCCAGACTCAGTGAGATTCAGATCCTGGAGGCACTCTAGGCCTCCATCTGGGCCCTGCGGAGCTGGCCAGAAAAGGGAACCAGGGTGGGGTCTCCCCTTCTTTCCACTTCTGGAGATTCTCCCCCATTCCCAAACTCTGTCCTAAGTGAAAACTCCCTTGGCTGAGGCACAGTGAGGACGCAGGAGAGGGTGGGAGGGCTCAGTGTTCCTCCCAGACTTGGGCGTTGACCCTGCACCGAGCACCCTGTGCCTAACACCCATCCCTCCCCAGGTGAGGCTGGGGGGTGTGGAGCCTCCCAGACCGCCCTGCCCAAGCTGCCCTTTCTTGCCCAATCCTCCCCCCACACCCGTTTCTGACCCAGGGAAAGTGACCCCTCTTTCCCCTGCCCGCTGGACCTCACTGCCCCATGGGGGGGCGGGGTGCTGAACTGAGACTGGAGGTTCTTCCTCAGGTCCTGGGTGTGGCTCATAGAGAAAAAGGCCTAATGAGGCCTTAGGGAAGGGGGCACCCTCCCTCACCGGGTCTGGAAACGCTCATGGGTGAGACCTGCGCCCACAATGCCCCTCAGAACACTGGAGCCAAGAGCAGTTGGATCACCGGTGGTGCCACAGGTTGGGTCCTTGCCCCGCTCCCCCCCAGACAGCTGCCTCCCGGCCAGAGGAGCTCACCCTCGAGTCCAGGCTGTAGGCCGTCTTCCGAAGGTCCTGCAGGGCGCGCTGCATGAATTCGAACGCGTGGCAGTCCACGCACGGACGGCCTGCGGGAGTGCGCATCAGCGCGGAGGGAACGTCACCCTAGTCCCGTACCCCCCCCAGCACCTCCCACCGAAGGGGGGGCCGGGGGCCCGACCGCGAAAGGGGCGCGAGGTAGGTGCTGGGAACAATGGGGAGGAACCGTGCTCTCGCACGCCCGGGTGGCGTCAGGGCCCCGTGGGGACCCCTCCACGACGCACGTACTTTGCGCGGGGACGGCGCTCCCGGCGGCGGGCTCGGCGCGGGCCTGGAAACCCAGCAGCGCCACGCTCAGCAGCAGCAGCCACGGCGGCAGCGACCTCGGGAGCCTGCACCGGAGCGGGGGGGCCATGGCCGAGCGCAGGGAGCCGGGGCCGCCCTGCAGCGAGCCGCGGGGGTCAGCGACGCCCTCACCGGGGTTCACGGACCCCCTCCACTCCGCCCTCACGCCCCAGGCCCTCGAACCCCTCGCACCCCGCCCTCACCGGGGTTCACGGACCCCCCACCCCGCCCTCACCCCCCCAGGCCCGTAAACCCCTCGCCCTCAAACCCCCCCGGGCTCGCGAACCCCTCCTACCCCGCCCTCACCCCCCTCCCCCGGGCATGTAAACCCCTCGCACCCTGCCCTCACCCCCACCCCGGGCTTGCGAACCCCTCCCACCCCGCCCTCACCGGGATTCACGCACACCCCCACCCCGCCCTCACCCCCCGGGGCCGCGCACCCCCCTCGCACCCCGCCCTCACCGCGGTTCACCGACCCCGCTCCCCGTCCTCACCCCCCTGGGCCCGCGAACCCCTCGCACCCCGCCCACCCCGGACCCCTGAACCCCTCCCACCCCGCCCTCATCCCCCAGGCCCGCGAAATCCTCGCAGCCCGCCGACCCCGGGCCCCCGAACCCATCCCACCGCGGCTCAAGGACCCTCCCACCCCGCCCTCACCCCGGTTCAGCAGCCCCACTACCCCGCCCCATCCCGGGCCCGCGAACCCCTCCCATCCTGCCCTCACCGGGGTTCACAGACCCCTTACTTCGCCCTCATCCCAGTTCAGGGACCCCCCCCGCACCCGTGCACCCCCGAGCCCACAACCCGCCCCCCCAGGCCCGCGAACGCCCCACCCCGCCCTCACCGCGGTTCAGGGACCCCGCGACAGCAGCGCCGGCGACTCGGGAAGACGTGCTGCGTCGGGCGCGCATCGCGCATGCGCTCCGACCGGACCCCGCCCGGGTCCCCCATCCGCCGTCGTTGTCATGGGAACCCCAGACTGCTCGAATCACCAGTTTAAAGGGACCGAGGAAGCTCCGAGACTCCGAGTGCTCAGCTCTGGCGGGGGCTGCACCTACACCCCCACCAGGCTCACAGTTGTTGGAGTCCGGAGGGCTGCCGGGAGGAGGCGGCGTCCAGAGCCACTGCGGACGGGAGCGAAACTGAGGAAGCGGGAAATCTGCTGTTAAGAGTCCAGCAATGCGGAGTATCGGGGTGTCCCTGGGGCCGATCCTGAGGGAGGGGCTCTATGCACGCCAGGGGCTGGGGAGGCTCCCCGCCGGCCAGCAGGGTCCGGTCTGGTCGGATTGCCCCGGGGAGATCAGGGCCAGGAGCGAGCCAGACTGTGGGGCCGTGGGGAATCCACCCTGTGGTCTTCACTCCCGCGCGGCCTAGCCCCTGACCCTCCGGCCGGCCGGGTTCCTCCTTTACACCTCTCGGAGCGTGGACAACTATTTGCCACTCCTCCTTCGGCCCCATTTCTCCCAGCCTTGAGGTCCTACCACCTTCCCCGGCTGTGTGACCTCGGAGGGGTCACTTGGCTTCTCTGTGACCTTTTCTTCCTCGTGAATGCTCAGGGCTGTTGGAAGCAAAGAGCCTCGCGTGCCCCCCCCTCCCCGAGGCGCGCGGGTTTCAGGTTCCTGCCGGGCCCACGCGTGCGGGGTACACCCGCCCCTCTGGAAGGGACGCGCTCCACTTGGCGTCGACTGGCTACCCGCAAAGCCCAGCAGCTCCGCGGAAGGCGCCCCAGGCCCACGTCCCGGCCGCGTGCGTGCGGGAGACCCCAGCAGCCCGCGCTGTGCGGGGCAGCGCCGCGCCTCTACGTCTCCGCCCCCTGCGCCCGGCCTCTGGTCGGCTGTGGTCCCCGCCGGCCGCAGGCTTCCCGACCCAGGGGAGGGGCGGTGCTCGTGACCGCCACTCTCTCCTCTTCCGGGTCGGGCGCGCTCCCGGGGGGCCTGGGCGGGGGTAGACTATGGGCCGCGATCCCGGACGTGCGCATTTCCGCGCTCTTCCTCGCCTCGAGCCCCGACGGCGGAGCCCAGCGCTGCAGCCTTGAGGGGCCCCTGGGGCTGAAGACGCCATTCGGCCTCGTCTTTTTTCTGCCTCTCCGTCTCACACTTGTGACCTGCGTCGGTCACCCTCTCCGCGTGCCGGTTACGCTCTCTGCGCACCGGCACACAGCCACGTCCACGCGCGGAGGGGGACCCAGCCTACCCAGAAGCAAGGCGCCGGTAGACCTCAGGTAGCGGTGCTCTGGAAGCACGCTCTTCCCGCCCCGCTGCAGGCTTGTCCAGCGCGTCCTGCTCAGTAGGGAGGGGTTGCTGGTGCGCTGCGTCCCCGGGGTCCCGATGGCACCGCGGATCCATCATCGCGTGCGTACTCCCGCTTCCCCGGCACCCTGGGATCCTCTTCTTCCGGTTCATTTCCGCCCACGGTCCAGCCTGACCTTCGAGCCGAACACACCCTCGACCTCCTGCGGCGACCGCGCGCGCCTGCCCAGGGGACCGAGCGGGCGCCAGGGGCCAAGGGATGTCGGGGGCGGGACCAGGGGCGGCCGACGGAGCCGTCCGGGTCTTGAGTGCGGGTGCCGCGGAGCTCGCTTTCTCTCCATCCCCCCCAGCGCTGGGGTCCCCTCCCCAGGGCACCGGCTTTCGCCTCTCAGTTGGAACCTTCTCTTCAGCGAACAGGTTGTGATTTATTTTTCTTTTCTGGAACTCAGGACCCCGAGTTTAAGACCTGAGCGGAGATCAAGAGTCAGCCGCTTTACCCACCGAGCCACCAAGGCGCTCCCGTGATTTTTTTTTTATACCCGAGGGAAACAAACCTCGAGAGTCCCTAGCCCCACCCCGCCTCGGCTGCACCTCTCCCCGCGGCCTACGCTCTCCTCCTTTCTCTCTCGAGCCCACTCCTGCCTGGCCTGCGACCTCGGCTACCCTGGCCCATCTTGGGACAGTACTCAGTACCCCCCCCCCCCCCCCCGCCCCAGCAGCCCCGCAGTCCCCTCCCCCCAGCGCTCCTCCCCAGGGCGGCACCCCTCAGGGCGCTGCTGGGCAGCCCTTTGCCCCCCACTTATTCATGTCGCCTCCGGAGAGTCCCGTCCTCTGCGACCGTATGCAGTTGTGGCCGTGCACAGCAGCCATGCAGCCTCGGACTCGCATGTCCAGCTGCCTCCTGAACACCCGCACGTGGAGAAGGGACTTGTCTGTGTCTGCGAGTCCCAAACCGATCTGATTGCACCCCTCCTCCCCACCCCAAGATCAAACAGCTGCTCTGTCCACAGCCTTCCCTGTCTCGGGTCAGGGCAGTCTGCCCCTGCAGATGCTCACACCAGACCGGCAACAGCCCTAGAAATCGTGTCTGCTGCACGGTCAGAGCCCGCAGAGCACCTCTCTCCGCCGCCGCCCGCCGCCCCGCGTCGGGACTCCTGACTCGCCGCTCGGTCTCCCGGTGGCCCGCCCCCTTGTGGTCCAGTCTTCCAAGGCAGCCAGGACTTCTTACGCCTTTTTTAAATTGCGGTAACATATACGTAACATAAAAAGGTACCATTCTCACCATTTTCAAGTGTCCAGTCGGTGGCAGGAAGCACGTTCACACTGTCGTGCAACCGTCCCGACCCTCCACCTCCAGAACTTGTTCATCTTCCCAGACTGCCCCCAGGAAACACTAGCTCCCCATCTCTCCCGTCCCCAGCTCCCCGACACCCACCATCCACTTTCTGTCTCTATGATCTGACTCCTCTGGGGACTCACGGGAGTGAGACCATCCAGTGTTGTCCCTTTGGGGCTGGCTCATGTCACTGAGCCCAGTGTCCTCAGGGTTCACCCAGGTGGTGGCAGGTGCCTGCACCTCCTCCCTGTTTAAGGCTGAATAACACTCCACTTTATGGATGGGCCATGTTTTGTTGATCCACTTATCTGCAGGTGGACCCTTGGGCCACTCTGCTGTGACTAACGTTGCTGACCTGACGGAAAGACCTTTTAAATCATCACCAGCCACTGTCCCTCTCTGCTCACCGTGTTCCCAGATCCCCTCTGCCCCCAGGGACGGTCCAAGCCTTTCTGCGGCTGAGGCCCTGTGAACATGGGGGGCAGGTGCAGATATCTTTTCACATTTGTGTTTTTATTTTCTTAAGACACATCCCCAGCGGCAGGACTGCTGGGTCATAGGATAAGTTCTATTTTTATTTTTTGAGGACCCTCCATACTGTTTCCACAGCGGCTGCATCAACTTACCTTCCTACCAACAGTGCACGAGGGTCCCCTTTTCTCCACATCCTCGCCAACACCTGTTGTTTCTTTTCTTTTCTTTTTAATGGAAAGATTTTTTTTTCTTCTCCAAAAGGCAAAAAACTACAAACACCCCAGGTCCTGAGCTCCCCAAGACTTGGGTCCTCCACTGCCCCCCCGAAACCCGGCAGGAGGGGGACTGGGGAGTGCGGAGAGGTTGGTTCTTTAAAAGGTCACCCCTGGACAGAAGGCCCTTGGTCGTTCGCTGCCTTCCTCCGCCTCTCACGGGCCGCCGAGGAGCGGGATGGCGGGGCCCAGGGCTACGCCGGCAAACTCAGCTTCTTCCCCTTCAGGACTTCAGTGATGGAGAGGTAGAAGAAATCGCAGTAGAGGACAGTGTGGACTAGGCGTGGACTAGGCCCACCACGATGGCAGTGAGGTTGGAGAAGCCCTCGAAGTGGTAGCGCCAGATGCAGTTGAAGAGAGGGAGCGTGGGGTGGATGCCCAGCGCGGACAAGTAGTGGCCGGGATCGTCTCGGCCTCCCTGGTCTTGCTCACCACGAGCAGCCGGGGCAGGTTGGCTACCGACTCCAGATAGGTGGAGAAGGTCCAGAGGATCTCTCGAGGAACACCAGGATGGCCGTGGGAACAGCGAGGAACTCCACCCGGAATGTGTCGTGGTTCCATTGTAAGTGGCTTTGAACTTGCTGTAAATCGTCCAGATTATGGTGAAGGAACAGGCGGTGTAGACCACCTGCATGCATGTCTTGTACGGTGAGAGGTAGTTGGTGAAGAGGTCCGGGTATTGGGCAGTGAACACCACAGCAAAAAGGACCTGGCTCTTCCCTGAAATCGCGGCACAAGGGCGGGCGGGACTTGCAGATTTAGAGCAGTAGCAGGATGATGGCTAGGAGGTGGGAGAAGCCTCCCAGGACTCGGAAGGTTTTCATGCTTTAGGGGGGTCTGACAGGGCTGGGCTGGTGGGGTTCTGGCCGGGTGGCTGGGCTGGGGGGGCGGGAGAGGGGCCCCTGGGTGGGCTCCGCTCTGGGGAGGGGGCTCTGGGAGGGGGAGCCGAAGTGGGAGCTGGTTACCTGTTGTTTCTTGTCTCTTTGATGAGAGCCATCCTAATGGGGGTGAGGGGATTGCTCACTGGGGTAGTGTCTCTTCTTATAAGGACACTAGGGCCCCTCCTCTATGACTTTATTTAACCTTGATTTTTTCCAGAGAGGCCCCCCTGCTCCAAATGCAGCCACACTGGGGGTTAGGGCTCCAAAATATAGATTTGGGGGGATACAAACATTCATCCCATTACACCCCCATCCTCCCTAGACCCCTTTACCCTGTCTGACATTTTTAATTCTCCTTACAATTCTCACCTTCTGTCTCGCGATACACTTTATTCGATATGGTGATTTTTCACTGTATCCAGAGTTCTTGGAGGGAGGGGAAGAACTTTGCCCTCAAGCATATTTGGCACTATCTGGAGACATTTGGGGTTGTCATGGTGCAGGGGAGAGGTGCTACTGGATCTACTGGGTCAAGGTCAGTGGTACTGCTAGACGCCCTACAATGCTCAGGGAGAGCCCTCATGAAGAATGACTTGGCCCATATTGTCCATGGGGCTACTGTGAGGGGCCCTGATCTGTATCTTCTCATTGGGGTGCCAGGCCCTGGAGGGCAGGAGCCTGTGTCTCTTTGGCTCCCTGCTGTGTCTGCAGCAC